CCTTGGTCCACACAGGGTAGGCAGGTGCCTTGGTCCACACAGGGTAGGCAGGTGCCTTGGTCCACACAGGGTAGGCAGGTGCCTTGGTCCACACAGGGTAGACAGGTGCCTTGGTCCACACAGGGTAGGCAGGTACTTTGTGCCCTAGCCCCCTAGCCCTTCCCCTTCTCTCTGACTGGAAATTGAGAGCAGGAGAGAGACCTTTAAAGAGCAAATGTATCCATCAAAGGAAAGAAAGCGAGCAGTCTCCCTGGGTAAGAGCAAGCCATACTCTATGTGGAAGTTTTAGCTGTTGCTATTTCAGAGTTGAGTTCCCTGGGCTATGGGAAAGCCTGAGACTCTTTGGTGCTTCTATCAGAGGATGAAGATGAGACTCCTTCCTCCTAGAGGCATGTGTGGCCACTTCCTTTTCATCAGCGCCATATAAAGATTACCTTTCTTTACAGGTTATAGATGACCTTTGTATTCATCTATAACCCTGTACTCTGAAGGTAACGATCTACCTTTCTAGGGCAAATACAAGTTCATGGGGGTTAAGCAGCTTGCCTGGTTAATCAATAGCAGAGTCCTGCCTGTGACGGATCAGAGGACCAGGATGTGAGGAACACCCTGCACCCCTGATGATGCAGAGCCGGTAGTCTGTGGGTGGCGCTTGCTGAACCAGGGGAAGGGACTGAGCCAGTCCTCCAAATGAATTCACATGAAGACAGATCATCAGAGCTTAGGCTTGAGGGTCCCGTCCCAGCTCTGCCCCTCCACAGGACATCCCTCCCTGCCTCAGTCTCCTCAACTGTAAAGTGAAGTGGGCAGCACAGGGTAGAACCTCACAAAGCTGTTGGCTCTCAATGGCTTTCAGTCATCGGGATTCCTTCCCAACAAGATCCCATCACAGTTTGCTACCCTTTTCAAAGCGTAAACCTTGTATAGAGTGTACGGGCGGTCAGAACACAGGTTCGAATACCCAACTTTAAGTCCTAACTCTGCTACTTATCATCTGGATCGTTTTTAGGCAAATTGCTTAACCTTTGTGAATTGATGTTTATGTATCCCGGAAAGGAGGGTAAAATTACCCCCAAATGATAGAGTTGTAGATGAAAATAAGTATCATCTATAGCCTGGAAGGAACAATGTTCCCTGTGTGTCACTGATGGAGAGAGAGCCCCCTCCCTTCTTCACCGATAGCATCTGGGTCACAGGCTTTCTCCTCGGTCAGGAAGTCTCTCTTCAGCCCCTCTTGCACATGTTCTCATCCAGCAGAAAAGCAGCTCATTACGTTGCCCTTGGAGGCAAGAGTACATGCAAGTAGATTAAGACTAAATCACAGTGGTATCTTATCTTTATACACAGCAAGATGCAATCAAATTTATAAGGTGCCATCCCCTAAATAAAAGGTAATTAAACCTTTCTTTATTCAATACAAAACGGCCTGATTATAGAATTGCCACTGTGAGTGGCTGATAGCGGCTGGGCTCCTTTATGAAATGGAAGCCATTAAAAACTCAAACATCCTCAGGTACATTGTGCTTACTGATGGACGGTCAGTCGCTATGTCTGGATAATAAACAAATTGGGGGGGGGGAGGTGCATCATCTTCAAATGAGGGCCTATTCATCATCTTCACCCTGCAGTTGAGAAGACCAAGGCTCTGGGGAATAAATTAAGTTGCCCCAAATCACACAGTTACAAAGTGTACAGTTGAAGCATAACTATGACCCCAGAATTGTCTAAGTACTTGGTTCCCTTCTACTGAACACCTGTGTGTGTGCACAGCTCCAAGCCGGCACACAGGTGGTGTTCAGGCTTCCAGGCTTCTTTTAGTTGTTGTTATGGTTGTGGTTGTTGTTGGTGGTAGTGGGGGGGGGTACTTTTTGGGATAGAGTCTTATCTGTAACCCAGACTGGCCTCAAACTTGTAGCAATCCTCCTGCCCTCCCCCGCCCCAAAGTGCTAGGGGTTATAGGCATATGCCACCATGCCAGACATGTTGTTCAGACTTCTTAAAAACTAAAAAAACTTTCAGAGTTGGGGATGTGGTTCAGGTGGTGGGGTGCTTGCCTGCCATGCACAAAGCCCTGGGTTAGGTCCCCAGTATCACATAAACTGGGTATAGTGGCACATGCCTGTAATGCCAGCACTTGAGAGGTAGGGGTAGAAGGGTCAAAAGGTCAAGGTCATTCTCATAATAAGCTCAAGGGCAAACTGAACTATATTACATGCTATCTCAAAAATAAAATAAATCATTACTTTAAAATTTAAAACT